TAAGATAAACTCATCCTTCAAGATAGAATAGTCTTCATGCCATTCCAAATAATCATTGTTAGAAACGCACTGAACTGCTGGGCCAGTTAATAACGACATCACATTTTATTTATATGGTTCCCATCTGCTAAAGCCTTCTAGGCAGCTCACAATGGGCTTGATTTTTGGCCAGAATTTAGCATAGCTTCTGTTTATATGGATGCAAACAACAGCAGTTGGATGGCTGTGTGCATAAACAGGTCTGACTACTAATCTTTGTGGCCACAATGCATGGTTTTATTCCTTCACACAACAACAAAATGTCCATCTGAAAAATCCCTCCGACAAAGAATACAAAGTATGAAAAAGAACTAAGTTTTTCTGAGTTTGCATGATTTCAAAGAATCCAGCACTGGCCTTGGCAGCCCCATGAAAGGGGCATCACCATGAAAGGGGCCTGCCCAATGCTTAGCAAGGACCCTGGACTCCACACTCCCCAGGACAGGGTGCAACCCTGCAAAGAAGAAAGCACTGGATGTTAATTTCCTCCTTCCATCAGCTCCTCTCTCACTCACCACATTATCTTCCCCACTGTCAGCCAGCCCTAACTCCCTTTCTCACCCAACTCTGCAGGCATCTCTCTTCCAATGTCCTTCCCCTCTTCCTTGCCTTCTTTCTGAGCTTTGTTTCAGCTGTTTTCATGCTTCTCATATCTTGTTTTCTGACTCAGGGTACTGACTTCTCCAATGGCCCCTTCACACCCCCCCCGTGCTGCCACTGCCACATGCACTGATCTCCATGTCCTTGCTTGGCACTGCCTCCCACGTGTCCTTCACCAACACGTTTCAGCAGTAGATGACTGGCTTCTCTTTCAGGTGTCTGAGTAGGACAGATTTCATATTTTTGACTTTCATGCTGAAAAAAGATGGAAATATGAATACCCTGTCGAGTTTTCAGTGCTTATTGTCTGGAGTGCTTCTATCAACTTGATGGCAGTGAACACAGTGCCTGGCAGTGCTCACCAAGCTGGGCTTTTGGATAATGGGGATATTTATAGTATATGCATTGCTTATGTACTGATAGCTGCCAAAGTAGTAAACAAACAAATGCTCTCCATAAAACAATGAGAAAGTAGGACCATAATCTTTGATCGATGAATGAGGATGACAGGTTTAAAAAGGCTTCCTCACTCTTTTATGCAGATTGCTTTTCCAACTGCCTGAATCTCAGCCAGCATGAGGAGGCTGAAAGTCTGGAAATGGATTGGGAAGAGCAATCTGCAGTCCAGCCACTGTTGGAGAAGGATGTGAATGTGTGTCTAGCCCTGACCCTACAGGGCAAGAGATGCAAAAGGACAATCTCTCCAGGTGCCAAGAGGGACAGCCCAGAGCCACTCTGCAAGATACACACCAAGCAAGCTTTACCTGCAGGAGCAGGATATGGACAGGACACAGCAAAAAACTTGACAGGCCCTTTAAGACAGATCTGCTGCTCAGCAGGGACTCCCCAGATTGGTGGAGACCTCAGTGGGTGTAAGAATGATCTTCTGCAGAAGCTGTTCTGAAGAGCATTTCATGGAGGTTTGCAACCTGAATGCACTCCAACAAGGAGGATGAGTCTAGGCATGGTTCATCCAACGAGACCCCCAACAGGATGCATTAGAGAGACTTGTTAAAACTAAGATCCATATATGGCTCTGGATCTAAGCTTTAAATCACTGTCAAATCTGCCTGCAAATGCTAAATTTGCATTTGTGTTTCCGTCCATATACCCACATTAAAATGAAGATATGCTCAGTGCAACCTCATTTATGTTTAAATTCACATATAAACTAACCACTCTGCAAGTTTGAGCAAGGCTCCATAAACCTTCATGGAAGTCCAGAGAGATTTGAAATCAGTGATCTTGATCAAGACATTGAATAACTGCTTAAATTCCATTTAGAGGTTTGTTTAGGCACTACCTCAGTAAATTGCAATATGTGTGGTTTAAAAAGCAGCTTAACTGAAAATGTAGGACAGTTGTACCACACTAATCCAAGATAGTTCATGGTGGGTTTGAACTATTACACGTGAATGGCCTGACTTCCAGATTGGCATGCAGTAATAACTACAAATTACATCAGTGGGTGCTCCTATCTTGGAAAACCAGGTCATTACAGACATTCGCCTTGAAATTATATTAAAAATATAAAAATATAATATTAGTTTGGATCTACAAAAATAGTATTATTATGAAAGATCTGTATTACCCAAATAAGAACCACTATTTGTTGATTGAATAAAAATAATGTTGATGACTCAACTAATAACTTTGTATTTAAACCACAAGTTTCAAGCAAAGGCTCCTCAGGCATTATGGAGATGGGAAGCATAAACATGCCATTACAATTTTAGGTAGGCAGAATGTAATTATCCAGATTGGATTCTGGCCAGAACAATGGGCACTACCCCCTCCTATTCTTGTTTTTAGAAAAGCTCCCTGACAAAAGCGACAACAGCTGTCATGAGAGAGGAATTCATCAGTTGCTCACACCACCCACGTACTTGATTTAAACATCCTCAGTTTCTACCACAGACAAACAGCAAAGAGGAAGAAACTGGCCAATCACCTACACATGGAAAGTTGCATGCTAATCTTCTCCTTCCTCTTGGACTTAATGCAGGAAAAATTCAAATTTCTTACTTGAACTTGAATTGCTTTAATTTTTTCTTGGAAGATGGGGGTCCAGAGCTGCTTTGAGTGGGGTGAACCTGCTGGGAAGATATTACCCTGTTGGGCAAGACTGAGAGAAGCAGTAATGGGGAAAAAATGGATGTCTCCTCAACCATCCCATACCCTTGCCACTCTCCTGTATGCATAGCATTTGTAACACACCTGCTGCTGCATCTGCCCCATTTCTCTTTGCACTCTAAGTCACCAGGATCTTTCCTGATAAATGGGCTTTGCAGATACAGATGGTAATTAGCTGTGTGCCCAGAGGTGATCATGAAGACCAGAGCTCAAAGGAATTCTCTCTGTACCAAGATGGGACTGCAGAGCAGAGATCCCTTCTAGAATCTATTCCACAACTTTACTATCCCCAAAATAAATATTCTCAAAAGACAAGTCTTCTCCCTACAGGTTCTCTTCAAATTACAAGGCATTAAGTAGTCTCTCTGGGATTCAAGTATCATCTCAATCACAGAACAACCACTAATGGCCACTTAGGATTCACAAAAGCCCTGTTTCAGTGGAGTACTCAAGTCTGACTCCAGATGAACAGAAACTGCAGGTCAGGAAAGCACTTACATCCTGGAAAAAATGGTAGAATTGAGGTACATGTCTAAATCCCCCCTGGATAGAGAGGAGGTTATTCACACATAAAAATGCTTTACTTTTTTGGGACTCAAGATTCCCAGAAGAATTACACTGGACCAGTATTGAACCCCAGTATTAAAAAAACCCCTAACATTATCTCTGTCCCTTTCCTCCTGAAATGCTTCCAGAGCTGTTAGCAGACCAAGGCTATTCTAGAACTAAAAAGGGAAATTTATTCAACAAGCACTATAGCAGGTGGCAGCTGCTAAACAATCTGCCACCAATCAGCAGTTTATGAAAGAGAGTAAAGAATCCAATAATAACTCACAGTTGGGGAGGGAGACACCAAGCCTGCAGTTACTGAGGGAAGCTCATAATAACACAGAGTCAACTCTTCAGCAAAATTATTTCTCCTAAAATCTGCTTAATTGCTGAAGTTGGCACTCCCCAGCTCCTGCAGTCAGGACACCCACAGCTGATCCACCACAAGATAAGCTGTAGGTTAGAGCTGAGAGGCTTCTTAGGAGGGCCAAGTTGGTAAAAATTGAGACTGGTGGAAAACCCAAATAATTTTATCTCTGTTCTTTTGACCATTCCTTCTCCTGGAGAAAGTCTATCCTTATGCAAGAGCTCTGGATTTTTAGGACATTCAGCCCTTTCCAAGATGCAAGCCTGCAGATGAGTCAATGGCATGATTTTCTCCAATACCTTCATGGTGCCAGGCTGGTGAGGTGGAGCTCAGGCTGCACAAAGTATGAGAAGATGGTGAAGGTGGTGTGCCAGGGCACCTGAGCTCACCTGCAGGTTCCTGTACCACTTCATCTCCCCTGAACTGACTTTGCTGTGGTCACTTAGAACTCAAAATCCTGCAGGTATGAAATTAAGCAAAATAGATCTGAGTTCAGCTTCTGAGAACTAGGACAACTCCATCCAGCTGCACAGTAAACCTATTTTTCCAGTTATATTACAGCACCATCTACAGGCCTTTCCTGATGGAAAACTTGCCTCAGACAGGTTGTTTCACTATCTGTGTAAAAGTATTTTGTGGCTTCAGCAGCATGTCTAGTGCAGTGACAGACTGCACAGTCCAGCTTAGTGTAAATGGGGAAAAATGCCATTAGACTGGGCTGAGAAAATCGTTGGGTAACAGATGACAGACAGCTTTGCTTCTTCACAAGAAGTAGCTAATTAGTGAGTGGCCATGGATTTCAATATCTTGACTTTAATGCACAATGTAGAGTCCATCAATTCATTTTTACTTTAAACATTCAACTAAAATTGCATTTTAGTTATACAGTTCTGTTTAGAACAGTTGAACCAGAACTGCAAGAGAGAAAAGCAAAAATGCAGAAATCAGATTTCAGCTAAAAAGGGAACAATAGATTTTTACTGCTATTGTATAGGATGAAAATACTACTGTACATGTAGGACCACATATGTGAATGTAGTAAGGAAACTTGAGCCACCAGGATCTATTATTCTTAACTTTGACACAGGTAGAACTCTCGGCAAGACATCTGGCCCATCTCTTTCAGGAGACTATTATTTGCTAAATTGCATGACAGAACAAAGGAAACTTAATTTCTGCTATGCATTTATAAGATCCTGGGATAAGCACTGGTGCCATGTGAAGGGGAGTGTGATGAAGCAAACCTACAGGACAGCAATTATTTCTAGTAAAATAGCATCTCTTCATGCAAAATATATCTGCCATAAGAAAGTAATTCTGTCTGCATCTGAAGCATCAAATCACAAACACAATGTAGATTGGTTGTTTCTTGCATCAAATGCAGTCATTTTAAATCCACAAGAAAGATCCAAACAAGTTAGAGCTAAATGGGAATCAAAAACTCCAGACTGAGGAAAAAAAAAAAAAAAACTTGGAAAACTTTACCTTCTTCCTGATGTTTTTTGGCTCTTGGGAGAGGAAACGTTATTTCAAGATGTTCTCTGCAGCTAGGAGAGAAATGGGCTTTTCTTTTTGATAGGAAACTTAAGATTCAAAAAACCACATGTAGAGAAAACCTGAAGCTTTAGGACAGAATATTAACTATCACAAGGCTCGTGATAATATCACAAGTGCTGGCAGCACTTTGTGAATCAGCACACAAAGCCTACTGGAAATTTTCAGTTTTTGAATCTCTGCCATGAAAATAATTTAGCTCTAATATCTATGTCATGTGGGGACCACATGCATAAATGCCTTTTAAATGACATTCTCCCTCTCATTCCAAAATGGAGAAAAGGTAAATGGTCAGGGGGATATGCACATGTTACAGTTACCACCTGTGCAAGGATTTTGTTGTCTAAAATGTGAGTTTAGATCGCAATCTAAATTTAAGACAATCTATGCAATTGTTTTAAATACTACACATCCTATGGAATTGAAAGTCATAAAGTTGCTGTCTTATTGACATGTAACAGCACAGAGTGCACGCCAACCGCTTTGGATTAATTGCACATATAAAAACAGATTTCTTTTTTAAAAGTCTGCACACAGAGAAGAATCATTAATTTCACTTGAAGTGATTCCCAAACAGGATATGGAGCCTCTAACAGCCCTTTGGGTTGTGCCAATTGTTTTGTGCAGGTGTTTAATCCAAGTGCTCAGCCGCACGTAGGGAACAGTCGTTCTGCAAGCACCGGCTGGAGTGGGAGCTGCATGCTGGTGTCACATAACTGCAAGGGGTTGATTCCTCAAAATCAGCAGAAACCTCGGGAAGCTGCTAATTCTTGTAAACAAGAGCCTGGCTTTTATGGAGCAAAATGGAGCAGAAAACACTGAAGTACACGAGAACCAAATCCCTTCTGCGAAAGCCTCTTTTATTATACCAGTGAAGCACTAAAACCTGCCATAAACAAGCTGATTTCTCATTTCAGCCTCTCTCTCTACAGTCAGGAAAAGCAGCAGCAGTCACAGACTGAGCTGAACGGCTGGAATAGGAAACTTCTCTTGAAGGTCAACGTTCCTTGTATTTTTAGGTTTCATTAGAACTTTCTCATTCACGCTGACTCGAAAACAATATATACACACATAGGATAAAAGCTGAGCTGCAACTGTTGTATGTACAACACAACCCACCCTTTTCCCTCTCTTTGTAGCACTGCAATTTGATAGCAGGCTGCAGAAAGATTGGATGGCTCTGAGGTGAAGGAAGGGGAGAGGTTCCAAGGCATCACAAAGAATTTTTGAACCTACCACATCTGACTGTGAGGAGTCTGATTAAAAGAGAGGCTCCCTTAAAAGCCACTATGGTATCTAGTGAAACAGATTGCATGCCCACCTCTGACTTGCAGGAATCAGGTTGAGTCATTGGCAGTGTCCTGGGAGGAAAGAGAGAAGAAGGGGAGGAGAAAGACAAAGTTGAGGAGCACGTAGGAAAGCTGCACCTCACAGTCTTGCACAATCAAGATATGTTTCCAAAGGGACAGTGGCTGCAAAGCTCTATGCAAGGCTATCTGTGGAGACTGAGCCACAGTCTCAAACCTCTTCAGACTTTTTGTCCCAGTCTTTTTCTCAGAGGCCACCTGCCACAATTCCTTCTCTGACTCAAGTAGGTCCTCAAAGTGATTCCCATTTGACAGATCTGAAATTAACTCCAGGAAATGTCAGTTTAGTAGCTTCTAGAGATGTGGAATCAAGAAAAAAAGAAAATAAATAAATTAATTAATTTTTTAAAAGTTGAAAACTATGAAATGGGTATGAAGGCTACTGATGATGCTGTAATCAAAACCCAGAAAGCCCAGGAGTTCAGTCCTTAAAAGTGGAACATGGTCCCACGAGAATCTGCACTCCAGCCTGTGTTGATCCAGAATTAGCAGTAGCTTTCACTCAACCCTATTCAAAAACCTGTGCAGCTTTAAGTATTGTCAGGCTGATTACACAAACTTACAGAAGCAGCTGAAGCACAGAAACCAAGCCATGGCAGCTGTGACTCACAGCACCCAGTGTGCCACACAGAAACGCAGTGAGTGCTCCCCAGCCTGCCTTCCAAACAGCCAGCACCTGTGCCCGGGGTGCCAGCCCACCCTGCCCCACTCCTGCACCACACTCCTGCCATGAGCACATGAACTGGAAAACTCTTCCACCCAACGGGACAGACTGCTGGTGCTACGGGCAGGCTGGAAAGGAGCACACCAGCTCAGGCTGAGATTCAATGGCATAAAGCAAGTGCATTCACTAATTAATTATTCCAAGATAATTAACAGTCTGAGGGAGACATTTGCAACAGTTTAATGCTTACTGTCAAGAGAAGCTAGTACCAAGCTCAGCACTGCCTCACCAACCCACAAAAGGAAACAAAGCCAAAATACAAGGGAGTGAAACATCAATGAAAAAAACATGGCATCTGAGTGCTGTTAATTGCAAAGGTGCAGACGTTTGAGTAACAACGATGCTAATAGAATCTTATCAGTAGACAAAAGGTCTGGTTTTGGTAGCTTCACAAAAGAGGCAGCACCCAGTGGACCCAACACTGGGCTGGTACAAGCAGCATTCTGCTAAAGCCCATGCAGACCTGACTTTGGCACTCAGCACTGTCTGCATGTCCCAGCTCCCTGGTAAAACTGCCTGCAAGGTGCAGAGGGAGCTGTAGAGCTTTTCACACACTAGGTGTTTGCATGCCTGGTGTTTGATGTACATTTGTATCTTTCAAGTCATAAAACGTGTTTGTTTTTCAGCCTGAGTACTGGCTCAAAGTCTAATATTCAGTCCACTAAGGTGCTGGACAGTTGAAGCCCCATACACAGGCAGAGTGGCAGCTGGCACACACTGCCTCTGCAGGGAAAACACCCCCTCCAGGAGATGTTTTAGTAGCTTACCCACATATAGCAGGGATAAATAAATGGCAAATAACCTGATATCAATCTTACAGTGTGGTTTTTTGTTGTTTTGTTTTTTTTTTTTTTACTATGCTCGAGGCAACATAAGTCAAATGCTTCTGTGCAGTCATTATGCAAAGAGCCAACATGAGCTCCCACTTGTTAAGGTATACTTAGCACCCTTACTCAGATCAATGGAGTCCACAGTCTTAATCTTACATTGCTCTTGCTAACAATGTGGTTACTGTAGTGTTGGCCCTAGTTCTCAAAGGAAAGAGGATATTAAGCAGAAACCTCTGGTAATGAAACCTCATGTAATGAAAGAGTGTTTACAGTGAAATGTTCACATGTTGCCCGCAAATCAGAGCATTACAAGGTGATTTCTGAAAGCCTCTGTAATTATACAAGTGCCACAAAGTGCAGTTGGGTGGCAGGCAGGTTATTTAACATTTATTATTACCACATAACACACTACAATTCTGAGAGTAAAAAGGGTGTGAGGGATAGCAGTATTTCACAAAATTCACACAACACAATTAAGAATCACAGGCTTGGAACATTTGTAAGTGCTTTCAGTATATGTTACTCCCTATTAAAAACAAACTGCATGCAGCTCAAGAGAAAGTCCTGTAAATAGCAAGAAACCACAAGGAGAAATCTTTCCAGTGGATAGTAAAAAAATGCAGCAGACATGTAATGAAGGAGCATGGCAAGGAGAAAGCCTGTGTGCTATGGAAATGCTGCCCTGTGGGACAAGGTGTTTCAGCCTACCTCATAACTGGTGACAGGTGAATCAAAGCAATCTTCTTGTCACCAGTGGCATGAAAAGACTGGAATCCTCACAGTGCTCGAAGTGTGAACAGAGGCCGTGCATCTCCAAATCCTCTGTACATGATGATACCTCAACACAGAAAGGTTCTCCATGTTAGGAAGGGTTGCAGGATTAGGCCCTCGAGACAAGAATTCAAGCAAAGGGGAGCAGAGTGACTTGGATGCACAGGTGCTTCCCCTTGTGTCAAGAAACAGAGTTAAGACACTCACTTTTGGCTTGTCCTCTGAGTTAATGTAACTAAAACCATCTCCACCTCTTGTAGATCTAATGTCCATCCTGACATTCAGCAGGAATTCAGCAACTCTCATTATGCTACAAAAATAGTGAAACTTACATTTGAAACATCCTTTCAGAATGCTCTCAGCAATAGCAGCAGCTTTCAGATAGATGTAATCATCAACTAGTTGATCATTTACCTTTTACATCTGATGTATCCCACATCAGTTACTCTCTCCCTAGCCAGAAGGTCCATAAAAAGACACTGGTATTTGGCTCTTTGTTATCAATTTAATTTCAGAGGTGATGTAGGGGTTAATAGATCAGGTACTAAGAAAGCCAGAAAGCCAGATGTCTCCTCTGCATGAACAAACATGCTAGAAATATGTCTGTCTGCTTGGCCAGCTCTGCCAAGATCATCTTCCATTGAGATCACTCTTTCAGGATAGCACAGGTGCAGCCTGTGAATCCAGTATATTCATCAGCAGAGCCTGAAAATTCTCTTACAAATTGGAGCTCTTTTGATCTAGACACTGTGTTGATACATAAGAGGCAGGTCCTAACACGGGATATTCAGTGTCTAAACAAATAAGGCAGATAAAGACTGGGAGGGAGAGAGACAGCACAACTCCCCCATGATCATAAAATAAAGGAAGAACCAGGAAAAGAAGTGCTGTAGTCTACCCCATCTGCTGTGCTGTTCAAGGACCTTTTATTTTCTGTTCATTACTTGTTAATTATTTCTGAATGCTGGAGAAGGCAAAAAGACAAACAAGTCCCCATAGAGTTAGAAAACAACCCTGCTGTAAGGCAGACTCAAATTGGTTGAGTTTGCAGCCAAAAGCATTCCCAGGAGAGGGAGCAGAGCTTGCTGCTACAAGAAAAGGGCCAGTTGGTTTCTGAAGCCCACGGACATATAAACAGAGATAAAGCTTGAGACAGAGACTTGGAGAAAACTGCACAGTGGAAGCTGCACACACACACGAGCAGGCTGTGTGTTCCAGAGGATGGGAATGTGCACTAGCAGGCTGCCGTGTGCAAGCACTGGGACACAAATGTGCCACAGCAAACCTGACTGGATCAGCACAGGGCAGCCCCAGCCCCGCAGCCTGCTGCAGCTCCACAGCCTTTAAACACCACGTGCCTTGGTCACTCCAATCCTGTGTCCCTGTAAGCCACCCAGCAGACATAAAAAAACAGCTCAGTGCCACTGAAATCCCACTCTTCAGTACTGAGGAGCAAGTGTCTGGTAGGCTGGGTGGACACTTTGGTGGACAGCTCAAAATTATTTGAAAACTGAAGAGTGGGCATTATCATATTATCAAAGGTACTCTGGCTCAACACAGATGCTGTAGATGCTTATGCAATTTGCACAATAAACTCACCTCAGACGTCAAGATCCAGAAAATATCTTCCATTTTGAGGTTTTATGTCTCATCAAGTCAAAAGTCAATAAAAATTAAAATATGACAGCTGTATAGAATTTTATAGCAATAACATAAAAATCGTGATTTACAGAAAGGCTTTTTTTCTTTGTTGTAGACAAAATATGAGAGGCAAATCCCTTGTCTATAAAGACACATCCTTCAGTAAAGCCATCATAAAGAATTTAAAACCCTGATAATGATAAAGGGCAATGTTTAATTTTTCAGCACTTGCAGTACCTATGCCAATGCAGATATCCTCTATGGCTTTGCTCGACATTTAATCTTTCCCGGTTTTCCCCCTCAAAAAAAAATTCTCAGATAAATTTCTAACATATATCCAGAGACATTTTAATACAAAGTTGTTTTTTTTGTAAAGCTCTTGTATGAACTAATTACCAAGTATAAGAGAACTGAGTTTTCATTGTCAGAGTTCACAGTAATATTGGGTCGAGCAGTAGAGCCCAGCTTTACAGCTGTTTGCAGCATTTATTGCAATAGTGCTTAAATAAGCAATCTGAAGCTGCCTGGTTTCACTTCTTGCCTGAGCTCTGCCCTTTCTATGGTGAATTCTGCCATGACTGATGGGGACTGGCAGCCACTCCTCATCCACGTGCCCTGTGACCCGTTGAGCACAGCAGCAGAGTGTGCAGGCAGACGTGAGCACCACTGACAGCAGTGAGTCCTCAGGACAGCAGGGATCTGATGGGGCTGGGGCAGGCAGCTGCTGGATCCCCAGCCACCACCTCTGCTCCTGGGGATGGGTAGTGAGGAACTTCTGCATTAAAAATCTCACTGCACTTGACAACCAGCAATTGACCTGCTCCTGTAAAAAAAGAGTGTCTCATCTTTTTTTGTGCCCATTTGAAACCTTGTTCTCTAGTCAGGTTAAAAAAAATAAGTGCAATTCAATTAGGGGCTATGCAAAACAAAAAATTTCTTTTTATTTCCTGCCTGAAAGGTTCACAGGTTACTCAAACGAAGCTACAGCACTGCTGAGCACTTTCATCTCCCATTGGTTCAAAAAGCTCCGTGACCTCTTAGCAACTACCAAAAACCAAGTCAAATAAAAACACATAACCTAAATTACATGCACATTTCCTTTCCCATTCATCTTTCTCTACTCTACAGAAACGTTGACTTTCCTAATAATCTTCTAGACATACTGGGAAAGTGTATAACCCATTACATACACATAAATATAATTATGGAATCACACTAGTTTTCTGATTGTCTAAAGAATTAGTAGGGACATAAATGCCCCAGCTTGCAAAATCAATTTGCAATTTCAACTTAGATGTTTATCCATCAAAACATTTTAATTTCCAGTTCAAATCATTATCATGAATTCTGCTCTGATCTTCTTGCTACAGATGTAACTCAAGTAACAAAAATCAGAGAAAAAGCTGAAAAGGAAATCAGTGAAAGTTCTGTGATGAGAAGGTCAAAATATTGTTCAAATTTGAAAGAGAGGCAGTGGTGTTTATGCCAATAGAGTCTGTATTACTCACTGCTTTTCCCCAGCTGAGTAGCTTTGCCAAACATCATATTCAGCTGAGTTTCAGCTATACTTATGTGAATGTTGCTCCACAGATAAAAGAGACAGAACCATAACAGAGGGAGTCATATTCATAAACTGCTCCTACACCACCGATTTGGTTGCAGAGCTATAATAGCTGCTATGTCACTACTAATTCTCTCTTTCCTGGTCAGCTTTGATATGTTATGGCTGAGACTCTACTTATTTCTTTTTAGTGACTTGGTAAGGCACATAATACTTCACACAGGTTTCTTGTTCACACAGATTCAGGCAAAGTTCAATTCAGGCATGTTTTAGAAAGGCCACCACGGCTTCACAGAGCACAGATGACAGGCGTGCAAATTCATGGCCACTGTAAGGCACGGACAATCAAAGCAGTGATGGAGAGCTTCCACGGGTAAAACATGGCCCAAATAAAATTCAGAAAGGTTTAACATACTCACTGCAGATGATGGGGTTCCTGAATAATTGCTCCAGGGAGTGTGTGCAGTATACAGCCATTTCAGTGTAGTAAATCAGGTGATTAGGTTTGAATGCATGTCTCCCTATCATCACTCCTGCATTGCTCATGCTGCCAGACCCCAGATAAAGTCTCTACCAACAACCTCAAGAAGCCAGGGAGGGACTGGTAAGGTCCTGGCCACCAGTGGGGTGGCAAGTTTCCTTCTCCACAGGAATGCCTTGGTATGAAAGAGAATGTGAAGAGGCGGTGTAAGAAGGTTGTTTGCAGGCAACACACATTTAATCTGTCTGCCTCTAAACATGCACTGTCCAGAACTGCAATTAATTTACAGATCAATCTGTCACATCCAGACTCCCTCTAATTCCCTCTCTGGTGTTTTCTAACAGGTCTTTGTTATGAACATGATGTGTAGATGGAGATACAAACAAAGAAATAAAATGGGTAGGAATAAGATTTGAAGTCCATCAGCAATTTGATTCAGGTTGTAACTGGGAGCATTAATGGCTGTAGTAATATCCCTGGTTTTAAGCAGTTTCTGGTATGGAAAATAGGAAAGCCACAATAACTGGAATCAGCCTTATGAATTCAGTACCAGGATACAACATTTCAGAGGAGGTTCTGTTGGTTTACATGGATCAGCTCTAGTGTAGGGCAACTCTAATTTCAGGTAAAAGACTTTGATGTGTGTTTAGTACAATGTTATCCAGCCATACTTTACACAATTTTTTTGTAAACCTTGAGCAGAAAACAGAAGTCTTGAATTTGTTTCAGCAGACATCTGATAAATGTCTCATAAATCTATAGCTTCCCTCCACTCTGTCCTACCCATTACCTTTTGCCCTGCAGTTCTGCTTGAGGGCTGTTTTCTTGGTTGGTTCAAAGGGGTTTTTTTGGGAAGGGGAGACAATGATTTTTTTTTTTAAGATAGAGTTGCACCTGCTGCATTTTCAGTATGCCTGTACAGGTAGGCTATTCTAAATCCTCCTTACTTGTCATTTTCCCAGGTAACAGTCATGTTTCTGGCAAAATGAGATGTTTTCAGTTCACGGGATCTAGATATGATTTACAGAATTTCCAAAGGTGCTCAGTGTTGATCTGGCAGTGTTCTCTTTAAAAATTACTTTCCGCTTGCCAGCAGTGCAGAGAGGACAAACTAGCACAAAGCACTTTTGAACCTACCCTTAGCACACTAAACAGAAAATTAATTAATTTTTTTTAAATTATTATCCTTCTATTGTCTTTCATAACTTCTTTACTCACTCTTATTCTACTACTTATTTGTGGTTATCACATGGATCTCATACTTTCAGAAACGTGTCTCTTTTCTCAACTCTAGACACTGTTATTTGACCTAATGCAAAATTTGGTTTCTTTTCCTTTCCTTCATATGTTTTTACCTCTCAAGGAGCTTCACAAAATAACTTTT